ATATATATATATATATATATATATATATATATATATATATATATATAATTATTTTTTATGCTTAGATTAGGGTTAAACCATAACCCCTGCCACAAAAACAAGACCTCTGATTAACTGATTTATTGACCAAACCTAATTTAGCTAAACAATAAGTCAGATATCTTTAGTTTCTTTTGTTAGTTTCTCAGATTCAGTAAATCCAAACTAGCTTTAACATACAGTATATTGTTTATTTTATCAGGACAGCATGTTTTATGGCTCAGATGTTGGCGCCTGTGTGCTTTTCACAAAGTGTACAAAGACATCAGTCCTACTAAGCACTGCAAAGGCTGGATGTTCTGTGTGTGTATTTCTTGGTGCTTGTGCCCTTGTGTTTGTGTGTGTACTGTTGTGTGCATTGTTGTGTGTTTAAGTGCTCAGTACAATCACCACTACCAAGCTATGTCTGCTTAAATATTGGGATATTTATGTGACAGTAAATCTTTTGTGTTTGATTATACCTCAGAGAGCTGGACAAGTTTGTGTGTGTGTGTGTGTGTGTGTGTGTGTGTGTGTGGCTGTTGAAACAGCTGAGGCAGAGGGTAGAGCAGAGTGAGCCCTGCAGAGTGACCAAAGCCTTTTTTTATGAGCTTGACTATGTATTAGTCAGGTAGCTGCCCAGATTATTGATCTGTTCAATGGGGGCAGTGAACAGTCACAAGGCACCATTAAAGGGTCATCAGTGTGAAAGGTGACAGGGTAATCTTCAAGCTTCACCAAGAAAGCAACAAATGCAGTTAACATTTTACAAACATGAATAAAAAAGTCGTTGCTTTGGTTATAAATAACCTAGTATTGGATTGAGCGCGGTGAATTATCATCTGTCAGGGGCAGACCGGGCTGTGCCTCATTCATTACAATTGAAACGGCCTTCTAAGCATCCGTAATGAAAGATTGATTTTTAAAATGAGTCTGCAGTCAACTTTCCAACAGATCCATCACTGGCACCACACTCTGGCACCTCTATGTTACATGAAAATGTGTTGAGACAGTTAAGGAAGGATGGCAAAAAAAAGGAGCAGCAATTTATTCCACTTGTGAAATGAAATGAAAATAATCTTGTCATGGTTCACCCTGGCTTTTTGAGAAAAATCAGAGAATTCAACACTTTGCTCATTGACCATGAACAACTAAACAGTTGTGAATCAAGGCATCCCTTCACAGCTGGCATCAACATGTGTTGTGAGTGGTTGGATTGTTTTGGAATAAAGCCAACGCACATATAAATCCAGGTGAGCATGCACACGGAATATCCAGTTGACCAAGCAACCTCTGTCAGTCAGAGCATTAAAAAACATAACCCCTCTCATAAGAGCAACATGAAAATACACAGCCACCTGAACAAACAGGTAGAATGCAGCTTAGATGACAAGCAGCTACTTTATGATGACTTATGATCTGAAACCTTTGCTTACGTAACTCGGGGGGGATACAGTATACCCCGACCATCAAGATGAACGGTCAGAGTGGTACACGAATCACCTGGTGTCTGCTGTCAATGGGGACATTGCTGTAAAAGAGCCTTCATGCACAGCTAACCTAGCCTGTATGAATAAAAGTTAAATATTTTGCTGAATGTCTTATTTTCTATGCACATTTTGTAATATTACCATTAAAACAATTATGCACAATTATGAGAAAAATATGCATTGTGATCCAGTTTAGCCAGGCAAGTCGCTTTGTGCTACGGCATTCCACATAACAAATTGTATATACAGTTGTGTGAAAAAGTGTTTGCTCCCTTCCTGATTTCTTATTGTTTTGCATGTTTGTCACTTAAATGTTTCAGATCATCAAACAAATTTAAATATTAGACAAAGATAACACAAGTAAACACAAAATGCAGTTTTTAAATGAAGGTTTTTATTAAGGGGAAAAAAAAATCCAAACCTACATGGCCCTGTGTGAAAAAGTGATTGCC